GAATCTTTAAAAAAAAAAAAAGAAAGAAAATGGAGACCAAAGTTGAGTAATCTGCCCAAGGTCACGAGAGGCTGAGCTGCAATAGTCTATGTTCTTAATCATGCTGCATGACCATGGTGACATGGGATTATAATCTAGGACTGGATAAAGTTGGCAGTGGAAGACCCAGGGCACGTACAGTATCAGAGACTTTGGTCTAGTTCCCTTGAGGGACTCAGCTTTCTTTAAGATTTGGTTCTCCCAAGTACTATTATTTATTTTACTTTTTCACCCTCTTTCAAATTTCCAGTTACTTCCTCAGATGTCACCCTCCTTAAGAATTTGAGCAATGACTATGACTAAATTAAGAATCAGAATATTCCAGAAAGTCAGAACTGGGGGGGAGGGAAACTTTGAAATCATTAAGAACTAAGTCTGGAGTTTGCAGTGAAGGAGACAGAGGTCTAGAGCTTTTGCTTGGTTGTTAATGAGAGAAAATTATTTACATAAGGTACAAATTAATACTTCTAGTTTCAATAATTGAAGACAAGCTAACAACAAATTCATTTGTAAGTCTTTCTGAAATATTTCTGGCTCTTTCTGGGAAAAGAGAGCCTTGACCAAGGGTTTTAGATTTTGGTTGCTCTTGAAAAACAAAACTTTCAAAACACCTGTATGCCTACGCCCATTGAATCAGAATATTTGGAGTAGGGTTGGACACCTGCATTTAAAAAAAAAAAGAATGCCCCCCAGGTGAATCCCAAGCATCATAGAGAAGGTTAATAACCATTAGCTCAGACAGTATTTTTGATATATATATATATTCCTGCTTCTTAGTCAAACCAACACTTTCTTTAGTCAAGGACTCAACTGGTGATCGTGGAATCGTTTCCCATTCCATAGTTAGCCCTTTCCAAACAAGGGCTGGGCTTCTTCGAAAAGCAAAGTAAGTGTGATTGTTGTCTTGAATTATTTCTGGGAATAAAGAACCACCTTTATAGCATGCAGCCACCTGCAGGTATGCCATAAGCTAAACATTAAATTTAAGAAGATCAGGGTGCTGGAAAAAACACAAGCTCTGGAAATAAATTGGCTGGTGTTTGTCTAATCCAGATGCCTTTTTACCTGATATCTGCACATATCTCAAGCAGCCTTCCCCTCCCTCGGCATGCAGATGCCTGCGGGTCCCAGGACAACCATCTGGCCCCAAAGCCAAAATCAAGCTAAAATCTAGAGACTTTTAGTTGTTAAAAAGAACGTTAAGTCTGGGCCAAAATGAATGGCAGCCAGCCTCCCCACAGAAATAATCAGCCTGCTAGCCCAGAGGGCAAGCGCTAATACATAGGGAGAGAGAAATGAAGTGGGGGAGGAATAGAATGCCAAGTCCCAACCCCACACCTCCTTAACCGCGCTCCCCCACCCCACGCTCTCAAGCACTAAATAAACAAACAACTATTTGGATCATTTTGTTTCTCCTTTTTTATTCTGCACAATGATAGAAACCATCCCTTTTGAGCTTTCAGAGCTAGTGTTGTGTAAAACTTGCATTTGTCAATTTAAATACCTCAATTTGAATGAGTCAACTTTTTTGGAAAAAGCCTGCGATTTGACAGAGGTGGCGGAAAGTGGGGGTGGGCGAGGGTTAAATGGGCCATTTGAGAGGTTTGCCCTGGGTGGTGAGAGAGGGAAAGTGCACTGACTTAGCACCAATCCCTGAAGGAAGCATGTGAACCCCCCTCGTCTTCTAAGACAGAATTAACCTGAAGATGTGAGTTAATTAAAGCTCTCTTTGATAAGCAGTGATGAACAGTGATTAAAGCATCAGGATCCAAAGAAAACAATTACAAATGGAAAAAATAGCTGAAAATGTTCTTTCTACTTGTGAATAAAAAGCAGAGGTGAGCTTAGAACACTTTAAATGTCTGAGTGGTACCTGTAATCAGCTTGATATTGATGAGAGACATCAATAACATGATGACAGCAACATGCTATTAACCTTGCCTCAGATTCTCGAAGGGAACACATTTGGATCCTGAAATCAGTGTGAATGTTTGTTTTTTTTTTACGTTTCAGAGCACGCAGGAAGACTGAGGGCCTGCACTGCAGCTACCTCTCCCTCTCTCCCTCCTCCCCCTAGTCTTTCCTTCTAAGGTTTGGTCCCGGTGCTAATGACAAAGGAAGCACCGAGGGGGGTGGACTACCACAAGGAGATATTTTGGTGCCCAGCATGGGCTGGAGTCAGGGAAAGAGGGGATTCAGCCCCATCAGAGACAGAGTGTCTCAAACTGGAGCCTCAGTGGTTTTCCAAGAAGAAAAGCCCTGGTGATGAGGCTGATCATGAGGCGAGATAGGGATCCCCTTGGCCAGGGTTTCTTAACCTCTCTTTATTTTTTGGTTTGTATATCCAACAACAAAGATCCTCATTGTTAAGAAGCAGTCTGAAACCTTTTTATATGCATTTAAGCAAAGTGAATTTGCTAATCCCTAGGAGGAGAGAAGAATCAATATTTATGAAGTTCTCAATGTGTGCCAGGTTCCTTACAAGCACCCTCCCTGCAAATCCTGTAACTATCCAGTGCAGCCAGTGTTATTAGTTTCTTTTTATGCAGATGAGGAAACTATGGTTGGGAGAAGGGAGGTAACTTTTCACATAGTGAACTGGGGGCAGAGCCAGGTGCCAAGTCGGCGTGGGGCTCCAGGGTTCTTGTCTCATTCTCCATGCTTGGCAGCTTCCTTCTCTGCCCTGTCCTCCTTTTGCCCATCATCTTCAATTCTCTTGCCTCCTATCTTGAGGGATGGTTTTCCTAAGCAGGCAAATCCTCCCCTGCTTCCCCCAAACCCCTGCCTTCCTCTCTCCTACTGAAGGATGGTAGTCCCTGACTGAGCCTTACTAAAAACAACTGCAACCTTGAGGACATTTATGACCTGAAGAAAGGACAATGACAGCCAATCTTCCAATCTTGCATTTCTCTTGCTATTCTTATGCTCCTTGATAGTATGATGACTCTTCTGTTCCATCTTAAGTCATAAGGGTTAAAAGCTTGGGCTCTGTAATCAGAGAGGCAAGTGGAAATGTACCATGTGGTTTTGTGTAAATGACTTCAGTTTGTGAAATGAAGCTAATCATAGTTTTTCTTTGTTTTTTTTTTTTTTTGTGAGCAGCACACGAAACAATGCAAGCAAAGAGCTTAGTGCGATGACTGCCACAAAGGAGGTGGCAATGTAATTGTTCCTCATCCTATTGTTCTCATCTTTCTCCTCTTTCTTGTTTTTATTATTGTGGTTATTATTTCCACTGGAAATTGGAAGCAAAGCAGGGGTGCAGAATTGCATATCTGCCACGCAGGCACAGACTGGCCTGCCAGTTCTCAGCCATCAGGGGGCCCTAGGAGCTGGTGGGGAGGTAGTGGGGACCTTGTGACTCACCTGCATAGTACTGTTGTCTTGGCTATTTTCTCTGGCTCCAGAGGCTTCACTCATGACCTAAGAATTGGAGGGGGAGCAAAGAGGAGGGAGCTTCCCAGACTAAAGCGTGTGTGAAATACAACTGAATGTAAGCACAGTGACCATGAAGCGGACTTTGAGTTTAATCAGATATGCTCGAATTTGCCTTCCTGCTTATGAGCTGCTCATAAGCAGGCCTATTATTTCACCTATTATTATTTAGGCCTATTATTTAGGCCTATTATTTCACCTCCCTGAGTGCTAACCTCTCCATTCTAATGTTTATTGAAGCTACCATCACATGCCAGACACTTGTTGGTCACTTTTCTTATGAATTTCTTATGTAGAAGAGGGCTTACCTTTGCAAGCATTCTATAAGCTGTTTTCAGTATTCGCATCTATCTTATGCCACTGCTTCATATCTAGTTTTTTAGTGGCTACATACTTTGCCTAATTCACCCCATTGTGCTCCACAGAATTCCATTGCCACATTGAATCGCATAAACTTGACATTTTTTGCATGAAAAGATTCTAAAGAACCTGGTGAAAGAGCTGCATTTGTATGTGGTCCCAAATAACATGGAATGAAGAAGGCTATCCTTGCTTTAGGACAGTCATAGTTGCAACAAACTCCCAGTGGAAGCTCCAAATCATACCATTTTTTCTTGACTTCTTAGGAAGGCAATTTCATCCCTTGCTTTGTTAAGCCGGCTCCAAAAGCAAAGCATCAAAACGGACTGTTGATTGCTCACCGAGGTAGAAAACCAGAACCCAACACAGTGCCCCACATTGGCAGCCTCCAGGTCGAAAGGAGGAAAGGAAAGTTGAACCAGCAGGGGACAGGGGCTGGCACGCTGCCTCCCGCTCAGACCAATCACAGCCACCAGCCCCAAACCCCGCAGGGCAGTGCTGCTGGCTTCTCTCTTTCCCTGAAGCCGATCTAACAAAGAGACAAGCACCCAAGATTAAATAGAGCCACTTTGAACCCAGACAAGGGAAACACCCAGAAAAACCGACTCGGCCCAAAAGTAATGCTTCTCCTTCAAAAATTGGGTTGTTCAAAGAATGTACCGCTATTAACATCTAAATGGCCGCAAAGAAGCATTTGATTACCCTATCTCATCAATAGCTACTCTCCAGGACAACTGGCTATCATTATGATGTATTTATTGCCTTACCCTGTTAATTAGGGTGAAAACATTCAGTGAAGATATGATCTTTTTTGCTCATTTCAATTGTGCACTGTAAAAAGCTCCTTTTTTCCCTTTCTCCCTACAGTTCTTAGGATTGGATTTACTCTGGTTCTCCAAGTGTGGAAAAACAAACAAGATTTTGTTTGGATTCCTCTCTTCCATTTCTCTGCACTAAAACAACCGCAAGTGCCAGAAAATTATTCTGACAAAAATAATAATCCTGCAGTATATAATAGTTTCAGAAAATGCTTCAGAACCAAAAAATTTTCTTAAATTTAAAGACACAGGTGAGGGGTGAATGTTTGGGTGATTTCCATTTGCTTTATATTTCCACAGAAAGATAAACAATTTAAAAATTCCATCAAGTTTTAGCTCAATGGGTATTTGGGTCATTTAAAATAGGATCGCTGTGATTACATCAAATTCTGCTACAGGAACTTAACATAAGCAGTACAAAATTTCTGAAAGATGAGATGAAACGAATACAAGGGACTTCAAAACACACAAGTACAAGGAAATAAAACTCAGCTAAATCAATCTTGCTTCATGGCCACACTCCAGTCAGGGACAGTCACTGTCTCTAGGGGACGTGCTGAGTGTCTCTAGGTGCAGTTGTCCGCCAGATGACATGGTCAGCTTGTGTCTGGAGACACAGTGAGGAGCAGGCTCACATCTTACTCATGGGTACAAGAATATTGCCCTGGCCTCTTCCAAATGTTGTTTTGAGGCTAAAATGGGGCAAGACTTACCAAATGACTAAAATACTCAGGGCAGAAAATAATCTGAAACAAACAAACAAACAAAAACAGGTGACTAGTTTGTGGTGGTTGTATTCTTTATTTTCACAGTGATTATTGAAATGAATTCTCTTACTTTTTTAGTAAAAAATACAAACTTCTACTGCAGAAGCCAACTTAAAAAAATCGTATCTGAATTGACTCTTTCAAAGGGACCTTATAATGGTTAAATCTCACCTCAATGTCCATTTGTGTGTAGAGGCTTGGTGAAGCAGGGTACATCAAATTGCCCTTTGGCACTGCAAATATCTGGAAAGCCTCTTTTCAATCTGTCATGATCAAAAGTAGATTTTCCCCTTTTCTTCATCTCTCTCATCAACAAAATCTTTGAAAATTGTCTCCACTGTATTTCTAATAAGCACCAAAAATAATAGAGGATGAATAGAGTGCAAATAAATCTTTAAAAATATATGTTTTTCTTTGATTACAAGAAGTAATTTAAGCTCATGGAAATTTTAGAAACTATAAAACAATAACAAAGTCACCTATAAAAGCTACAAACTGGAATAAAACCATTGTCAATATTGCTAGATAATAGGCAGGAAGCCCATCAAGGTTGGGACTCTCCAAGAGACTTGGCCCCCTCCATTGAGGGGCAAACTCTGCTGTAATTGTCACTAGACCTGCTTAATTCCCTTTGTAATGGAAGTGATTTTTTTGAATCTTATATAAATTAAGGAAATACAAGTGAGAAAACAAAGTTGTCCTATGCAAACCTAGATTGAATGCTTTGGCAAGAGTCCATCATGCCAAGATTTTTTAAATAAAAAGGACTCCAAACTGACTCAGGTGGCCGTGGAAGGGTGTGAGTTCAGACTGAGATGGGACTCTTCCTGGGAGCAGCATTCCATGTTCCAGGGCTGCTGTGGGAGGCAGTGGCTGCCATATAGGTGGCTGAGGCAGCCATATAGGTCATCCTAGACTGCTGGACTGTCCCTTCAAGCCAATAATTCAGGGTCTGGAAATGGACACTGTGTGGACTTCACCTTCCCTTCCTGTGAGATAAGATCACCCAGTTGGGAATCTCCAAATCGAGGGGATTGGAGACACTCCCAAGAGTACCTAGTAGGTGATCCACATCAAGTCCTTCAGTCAAGTCATTGAGTCACCCACTGATTATTTTACCTAAACACGGGCTGCCCCAAGGAAACAACCTGCATGCCCCCATGGCTTTTCCACTTAGTTTTCATGATTTGGAAAGTGCCTCAGGATATTTAAGGATGAGTCAAACTCAACCAAAGCTGTGTTCGTCCAGACTCTTATCTGGACCTCTGATTTCAGAATAACAGGGAGCACAGTTGGGCAACATTCCTGAAGGGAGTCTCAGCTAGGTGCCCAGGAGAGAGAGGCCTCCACATCTTTTGGGTGCCTGTGTAAACAATTTCCCGGAAACTCCCTGACAGGCGAGGTAAATAGACTAGGCAGCAGCCAGCTCATTTTCCATCTGCATCTTGCCATAGGCAAGAAAGCCCTGGTAGTCCCAAGGACTCTCTAACTGCTTCTGCTGTCTTGGCCTATCTGGCTATATCCCTCTCTCCAGTATTGCAGGGGCCCTACTTGTGGCCCCTCAGATGCCATTTGGCAGGACTCTCAGTCAAGGTGTCAGAGTTGGGAACACTGGAAACATTTGGCCAGACCTAGGTCACTTAGATTTCTTCTCCCTGGGATCTGAATCTTGAGCTCAGGGGCCAACATTGGTGTGACAGCATCCAGAGGCCATGCACTCCCTCTTGCTGATGAGAGCCTGGAGCCTGCCAATTGCCTCCTGAGCCTGGATTTTCACATCTCTCCTTGATTTCGCCAGCTAGCCATATACTTCCACTGAAATCTGTTTCTGGTTAAAGTAATGGAGCTCATTTCTTTTGATTGTAAAGGAGGAATCTTAAGAGACATCGCTTACAGCCGTGTTTGTGTCTATGTGTCTGTACACATGCATGCACGTGTGTGTTCTGTCCTGGAAGCACAGCTTGGGTCCGTGCATTTTCATAGGCAATCATGTTTGATTATTTCACCAGAACATATTCAGTTTATGGGCCTTCCTGGTGGTGCAAGGGATTAAGCACAGCACTATGAAGCTATCTGCAGCCTCTGCAGCATGAGTTCAATCCCTGGCCAGGGAGGTGAACCACATGGCGCAGCAGACCTCTCCTGTCTCAGCCACTGTTGCCCTCAGCAGTGTCTTTCAATCAGTCTGCCTGTTCTGTTCCCCACTCTGTCTCTGGTGAATCCTCTCACTCCCCACACCTCTGGCCTGTAACCCAGTTCTTGTATGCATAAATAAATAAATCTTTTTTAAAAACCATATTCAGTTTATTACACTGACTGGCATCTAGCTTCCCCTCTATGCCTCACTAGCATCTGTGTCTCTGAGCTAGGTACTAAAAATAAAAAAAGTAGTAAGGTTTTAACGCCTTGCTTCAAAGGGGTGTGTGTGTGTGTGTGTGTGTGTGTGTGTACTTTGCCAGGAAAAAAGTGACATAAGCTTCCTACATTGTGTTTTAGTGGCTCCCTATTGCATTATCAGCCCAGCCCTTCTAAGTTGGTAGAATGAAGGGTGGGGAGGGAGGCTGTTTCTCCCACATGAGACTGCTCACCTTGCAACAACTGATTGCTCCAGGGGCTGAACACCTGATCTAATCCAGACTAGATACACTCCAGGAATTTAGAATGGGGATGGGGTGGGGAGGAGAGAGGGAGAAAGAAGGGCTGAGAGAATAGTTGAGAGAAAGTTAGCCCGTTTCCTTCACATGGTGCAGCCAGGAAAACTTGAATGGGCTGGGAAGCCATCTTCTCCCTCCACGCGGATGAGCAGCAGAACAGGGCAGTTTGCCAAGAAAGAAAAATGGAGGCAAAGGCGCCATCAGAGAGAAACCAAGAAACCAAACTGCTGGCCGCCACCCTTCTTTGAGACCTGGCTGCTTCTCTGTCTTTGGATTCTGTGAGGCCCCTGGGTCCTGACAATGTATTTCTGCTTGCAATACCAGCTCAAGGGGTTTCCGTGCTTGTACCTCAGGCTCCTAATGAATATGACCTTCCCTTCCAAGTGCTGTGGGGGACCAACCTGAGTGACGTATGTTCTAGGAGTGAGAAGAGGCTAAAAAGGAATAACATTTCATTCCTTTTGCTAAGACCAGGATGTTCACCTTTCTTTATGCACCACAAGGCTGTCTCAGCTCCTGTATTTCAAGTGGTATCACTCTACAAAATCCTCTAAGGGAGGTTAGCTGAATTTTATTTCCTAGGAGAACAACTATTTGCAAATGTAGGGGCCAGTTTTTATACTTGCTGCCTGGAAGGATAACTACTCCTAAGATATTTACAGAATTAGATACTCCAACCTGGTGTTTTAGCCTTTGGTTGCCATGTTGTACTGCAGGTCAGTAATTTCCACTTTATGCTCCGTGAATGTTGGACATCTTACCCTCATAAAGCTCTGAGGCTGGTCTGACGTCCACACTGACCTTCATCAGGACACTGTCAGAGCCACACCAAATGAGCTCCACCAGTGTAGCTGACAGTGCACCACACACAAAACTCAATCTCCTGTCACAGCTGCCATGTCTAAGAATTCTCTGCTTCCATCTAAATCTTCATCTGTGTTATTCATTAATAGTGTTAACTGGGGCCTCCCTGGTGGTGCAAGGGGTTAAGCAGCAAGCACTATCAAGCTGTCCGCAGCCTCTGCAGCAGAGCACAAGTTGGATCTCTGGCCAGCCAGGGAGCTACACACATGGCACAGCAGAGCTCTTGCTGCCTCACCTGCTGCTCCCCTCAGCAGTGTATTTCTGTCAAGCTGACTGTTCTACTCTCCACTCTGTCTTTAGTGAATACACGCACACATACACACTCACACACACGCCCCTCTGGCCTGTACCTGAACTCTTATATGCATAAATACATAAATCTTCAACAGAAAAATAGTAGAAGAGTGATGAGAAATAGCAACTAACCCCACTAGTCCCAGCCCCAGGAATGGGAGGGTGGGGATGTAGGACGTGGTGGGGGCTGAGCAGACAGAGACTTTGTCTTCAGATAGACCCTTACTATTGAGTGGGCCCAGGCTTACAGGCTGCTGGTCATCTGGTTTTTAAAAATGAAGCTGAAGTCAGATTTATATGTGAAATTTCATTTTAAAATCTTTTTAAAAAATAAAAAATACTCCTCTCTGCCACCAGATTTCCTGTTATCAGAGACAATAGGGGGGCGTCTATGGTGGTTGGGGGCCCCTCTTAGGGAAAGGCTGTCTTCTTTTCAAAGGACTGAGATGCCTGGAGCCACCAGGATGAAGGGGGTGGGGATGGTGGGCAGATCCAGGCTCAGAACCCATTTTGCATTTTGCTAGGGGCAACCTAGGTGCTGTGACTCACCTGAGCTTTCTCCCAGATTCCAGCAGGCGAATTCCACTCTCCCGACTTTTTCTTTCCCTGATTTTTCCTCCTAATCTGCCCATTCTTGCTGCACCTATTTTTTTGTTTGTTTGCTTTAAATCAGAAAAGTTAGCTTCAAAAAGTTAGTGAGGTTCTGTAAATGGGTAGGTAAATGTCAACACAAGATGGATACAATTAATTAAACTCGAAGGCAAAGTGTCTGGAATAAACTCTAACAGCCAGGTAAAACAGGAAAAGATTTTATTTATTGTGGAGAAGACATAATCATTAAAGAATCCAAGACAAAAAACACTTTTTAAAAAAGATTTTATTTACTTTTACATAGAAGAACTGGGGTACAGAATAGAGGATTCACCAGAGACAGAGTGGGGAGCAGAACATGCTGACTGACTGAAATACACTGCTGAGGGGAGCAGCGGCCAAGATGGGAGAGGTCTGCTTCCCCATGTGGGTCACCTCTCCAGCTGGGGATCAAACTCGTGCTGCAGTGGCTGCCAATATCTTCATAGTTCTGAGATTTAACCCCTTGCACCACCAGTGAGGGTCCCCAAAACCACTTTTTAATGAGACTTTATTAGAGATTGATGAGACTTTAAGTGCTTCTGTAAAACTTAAAATTCTGAGATGTTATATTACACAATATCTTCACACATGTGTATTATTTATGAAGTTTTTGTTTTAATAAGTTATATTAAAAATCAGTTTCATTTCTTTTAGAATACATTTTCATATTTATAGATTATTTCAATCTCCACTGTTGCTCAAGTCTTTGGCCTATTTTTCCATTGGATTTTCTTTTATATTTGTATCTTGTCTTCTCTTTTTTTTTTTTTTAAGGTTTGTTTGTTTATTTATTTATTTATTTATGCAAGCACTGGGTACAGTCAGAAGTGCGGGAGGGTGAGAGAATTCACCAGAGCCAGAGCGGGGAGCAGAGCAGGCAGAAGGACCGAGGTACACTGCTGAGGGGAGCAGAGGGCGGCAGGAGAGGTCTGCGCGCCATGTGGGACCCTCCTCCGGTGGCCGGGGAGCAGCCGGGGATCGAACCGGCGCTGCAGAGGCCGCGGGCAGCTTCGCAACCCAGCGCTCAACCGCTGCGCCACCGGGGAGGCCCCTTGTCTTCTCTTAAGAATATGCTCTAAAGGGCCTCCCTGGTGGTGCAAGGGGTTCAGTCTCAGCACTATCAAGCTATGGCCATGATCCCTGGCCAGCCAGGGAGCTGACCCACACGGCACGGCAGACCTCTCCTGTCTCGCCTGCTGCTCCCCTCAGCAAGCAGTGTATTTTGGTCAGTCTGCCTGTTCTGTTCCCCACTCTGTCTCTGGTGAATCCTCTCACCGTCCAGCACTTCTGGCCTACACCTCAGTTCTTGTATGCATAAATAAATAAAGTAAAAAAAAAAAAAAAGGAAAATGCTCGGCTATGAAATCATTACCATTTATAAGTGTCGAAAAATAGTCTCTCCTGCTATGTGGATTTCTTTATACTCTTTTAATAATAATGCAGGAGCTCTTAATTTTATTGTATCCCAATTTATCAATAGTATATTTTACTCTTTTAAAGAAATTTTTGATTACTCTAAGGTGATAAAAATATTTTTTCTGTGTTATCTTCTGGAAGATTTATTGTTTAACATTTTTTTTTTAATAGAGGCATGTTTTATTTATTTATTTGTTTGTTTGTTTGTTTTGTTTATACATGCACTGGGTATAGTCAGAAGCGCGGGAGGGTGAGAGAATTCACCAGAGCCAGGGTGGGGAGCAGAGCAGGCAGAAGGACCAAAGTACACTGCTGAGGGGAGCAGCGGGCGGCAGGAGAGGTCTGCGCGCCATGTGGGACCCTCCTCTGGTGGCCGGGGAGCAGCCGAGGGTCGAACCGGCGCCTCAGAGGGTGCGGGCAGCTTCGCAACCCAGTGCTCAACCGCTGCGCCACTGGGGAGGCCCTATTGTTTAACATTTTAAATTACAATCCACCTGGAATTAACCTGTTCTTTGTGAGGTTCAAGTTCCTTCCTTTCTCCCCTTGTTTTCTTGCTTCCTTCTTTCAGATGTTCTGTTGACCCAGAGTCACTTAATAAAAAATGCTTTGCGCAGTGGCAGTATCATAGCCAACAAGGTTTATCCGAGGCACAATTATTGCTAATTAAAAACAGTGTCTTGTCCCCACAGCTTTGCCATAGCTCTGTCATAATTGAAGATGTGTAATTCTAGTCTGTCCATCAGTGTTCAAGCCTTTCTTTGAAAATGATCCATACGTGGTAGGCAGCTTCCAAGATGGCTCCCAGTCTCTCACCTTGTGATATTCACACCTTGGTGGAGTTACCTCCAAAACTGCACCAAGATTGGTTTGTGTGACCGACCAGATGGGGCAAAACATCACTTCCAAAGTTAGGTTATCAGAGATGTGGAGGCTCTTAGCATCTAATTTGATGCTCTTTTGTTCTCTTTCTCTGTCACTTGTAAGGGAAGCCACTGTCATTTCTTGAGGATATTCAGACACCTCTGTAGAGAGATTCATGTGGCAGGTAATTGAGCCCTCCATACAATAGTCCATGGGACAAGCATATGAATGAGCGAGAAGGAGAGCTGCAAGCCTTCAGGTGACTGCAGATCCAGCTGACAGCTTGACCACTGCCTCATGAGCCACCCTGAGCCGGAACCACCCAGTAGGTCTACTTGTGGATTCCTGACTCTCAGAAACTGGTGAGATAATAAATGTTTGCTGTTTTAAGCTGCTAAATTTTGTGAGTAATTTGTTACACAGCAGTAGGTAACTAGTACACCATTGTTAAATTTTTTTTAAAGCTGATATATTTAAAAAAATAAGCAAACTAACATCATTGCTTTTTATGAGCTGTTGAAATGTCAAAGGCACCTTTAAATCAGAGGATTACCTAATAATACCTTACATATCACAAAATTACAGGCAGCTTTGACTTTGTTTTAGAAAATACATGGTGACATCTGACAGAAAGAAAAAGCAAAATTAAGTCTGGGATTCTGGGATAATTTCTGTGGGTCTTTTTTTCTGAATAATTTATGATTCTGGTCATAAGTGAAAGAAGCCTATTTCTCTAATCTTTAGAATAAAAAGTTATCATCTTTCTTTTTTTTTTTTTAAAGATTTATTTATGCATTCAAGAACTGGGGCACAAACCAGAGGTGTGGAGGTGAGAAGATGCACCACAGACAGAGTAGGGAACAAAATGGGCAGATCAACTGAAATACATTGCTGTTGAGGGGATCAGTGGGCAAGTCAAGAGAGGTCTGCTGTGCCATGTGGGTATTTCCCTGGCAGGGGATTGAACTCGTGCTACAGTGGCTTCACAGTGCTGCGTCTTAACCCCTTGAGCCACCAGGGAGGCCCCAAAAGCTATGATCTTTCTTCTTCCATCTTTCTCTCACTTCATTCCTTCACAAGTTTTTAGTTATTTAAGTTAAATGGCTTCAACACCAGATGGAAAATATAATGAGTATTTAAAATATAATGTGCAGGGCCTCCCCGGTGGCGCAGCGGTTGAACGCTGGGTTGCGAAGCTGCCCGCAGCCTCAGCGGCACCGGTTCAATCCCCGGCTGCTCCCCGGCCACCGGAGGAGGGTCCCACATGGTGCGCAGACCTCTCCTGCCACCCGCTGCTCCCCTCAGCAGTGTATTTCGGTCCTTCTGCCTGCTCTGCTCCCCGCTCTGGCTCTGGTGAATTCTCTCACCCTCCCGCGCTTCTGACTGTACCCAGTGCATGTATAAACAAAGCAAACAAACAAACAAATAAATAAATAACATGCCTCTATTAAAAAAAAAAAATAAAAATAAAAAAATAAAATATAATGTGCAGAGCAGTTTGCCTGGTGCACAGAGTCGATGAAGGGGTATTTTGGGAGGTAAGACAGATAAACTCAGGTTGATATCTTTTTGCTCTTGACCCTTTGAGCTTGGATGGGCAATATATGAGCCATGCACTAGCTGGCCCAGGGAAGGGGCAGATTCCAAAAGGCAACCTGCGTTAGTGGCTCCTCAGAGCTTCTGCTCTTGGTCCTGGTGCATGGCTGGCATGGTAATAATTCCTGTGGAGATGAAAGGGCCTGTTAAATATATAGACTCCCCAATGTCAACTCCAGGGATTCTGATTCACTAAGGGATTGGGCCAGGAAATCTGTTTATAACAGACTCCTATGGGGATTCTAATGAACACTTGGGTTTAGAACCCCAGTGGTTCTCTGTGGACCATCCTCATTATCTCCAAGTCTGAGGTGTTCATTCTCCCCACCTCTGACTCCTGGGCCTGACTATGAATCTGGCTCAGGTAATTCCTGAGGTTTCTTTGTTTTGGGGGATCTAAGTGACTTTGGAGCACCTGTTTCCTCACCCATTTTCTGCTCCCTTTGCTTTTGTAATTGGATGTCACCTGATAATGAGGGAAAAGGAATTCTCTGTTGTAAACCTGGTCCCCAGGAACTTCAGCTTAGTCCTCACTGGCTCCCAGCGAAGAGCTTCAAGATTTTGCTTAACTATCACATTTTCAAACGGAGAGCACCCCTTCTGTCAGAGATGATTGTCCTAGATATTTTAATGGCTGAATCTCAATGGTTTTCAGTTAGTCCTATTGCCTGGATTGATATCCTAGGAATCCATGGCTTGATTTTAATTTCTCCTTCTGTCCCACTTACTTTAGTTCCCTTCAAATGACTTTTTTTTTTTTTTTGGATTTTTGATCTGCCTTCCTTTTGATCTGCCTTTATGTGTGGTTTATGACTCTGCTTATATGTGTGATTGGAGTGGGGGATCCAGGACTCAGACGAGGACAGTTCCCTCAAGTCTGCAGCCCTACAGACCCCACAGACTACATTCCATTCAGGTCATGTGGGGAAGACCAGTGAGGATGGATTCAGTCAATTGGTGTTAGACTGAGGAACGTCTTAAATGTCTTGGTTCATACATTAGGTTTCCCTGTGTGTGCTGAAGAATAGGGAAAAGTTCTCAAACGGGGAAAGGGTAGTCTCATGATATTAGGTTATTTGAATATATTTTTCCAGATTGAGATTTTCAGGAGTATGTTGAAGCATCAACAATGAGTATGCCTCATTAAAACTCTCAGAGAGGACATTCTGTTCTGCTGCAGTCCCAGCCCTGGTCTCTGGCTTCTCATTTTGGCATTTTTCCTTGGGTAAATGTCATCTCTTCTTAGTTTATTTATAGTTCATTTAGAGCATCAAAGCAATAATAATCCCCCAAATAGGGAGAAAGGCTGTGATGATTGGTGTGATACAGGCAAAGCATTCTTACCAAAGAGAGAAAATGAAGAGGGTGGTATTCACATAGCCCTCCACTAGCCCAATAGCCCAATTTCTATTATTTCCTTCAAGACCTTGCTTAAATTATTTTTCTCCTGTGAAGCCATTCCTGACTAAATCATTTTTTTTTAAAAAAAGATTTATTTATTTATTTATACAAGCACTGGGTACAGTCAAAAGCACAGAAGGGTGAGAGAATTCACCAGAGTCAGAGCGGGGAGCAGAACAGGCAGACTGATGAAATACACTGCTGACGGGAGCAGCAGGCGGCAGGAGAGGTCTGCACGCCATGTGGGACCCTCGCCCGGTGGCCAGGGATCAAACTGGTGCTGCAGAGGCTGCAGGCAGCTTCACAACCCAGCGCTCAACCGCTGCGCCACCGGGGAGGCCTCATTCCTGACTAAATCTTGATACAGAAGGAACATCACATTCAAGGCTAGGAGGAGGCATGGTACAGGCTTTGGAATAAAGCTGATCTGGAGTTGAATCCCAGATCTGTTGCTTACATTACTAACATGAAGGTCAAAATTATCATCTGTATTACGTAATTATTAATTTTGTCATATCAGTACTGATTTTTTTTTTTAACCAAATGACTGTCTCCCACTTTTTTTGCTAAGATAATCTTGATTGTTCAAAAATGGAGTGGAGGGCCTCCCCGGTGGCGCAGCGGTTGAGCGCTGGGTTGTGAAGCTGCCCGCGGCTTCTGCGGCGCCGGTTCGATCCCCGGCTGCTCCGCGGCCACCGGAGGAGGGTCCCACATGGCGCGCAGACCTCTCCTGCCACCCGCTGCTCCCCTCAGCAGTGTGCTTCGGTCCTTCTGCCTGCTCTGCTCCCCGCTCTGGCTCTGGTGAATTCTCTCACCCTCCCGCGCTTCTGACTGTACCCAGTGCATGTATAAACAAAACAAACAAACAAACCAGCAAACAAATAAATAAAGCATGCCTCTATAAAAAAAAAAAAAAAAATTAAAAAAAAAAATGGAGTGGAGATAACCTGATTTCATATGAAGTGTATCGTATCTAACTCCTGATCTATTCTGGTCCTGTGACCCAGTCTGGCCCATGGAACATAAGGGGGAATCTGATATAGACATCTGGGAAAGATTTCGTTCCTGAATTGGGTGCCCCATCTCCTGTTTTTAAGCTTGGTTGTAAAGACATGATGTATTTTACTGTGAGAGCGGGACAAATGAGAAGACACTGCCTCAGAACTCTGAGTTTTGGAGTTGCTGACTTAATGCCAGTGATAGCCTCCCCTTCTTCCAGTTCCCCGATTTTTTTGTTGTTGTTGTTGTCATTATGCAAGATAAATTAACCAGTCTTGGGCAAAGCCCCTCCTAGCTTGCTGCTCTTTGTTTGCTGCTGAAAGCATTCTTCTTCTTTTTTTTTTTTTAAGATTTCTTTATGCATACAAGAACTGGGGCACAGGCCAGAGGTGTGTGGGGTGGTGGTGGTGAGAGGATTCACCAGAGACAGTGCAGGGAGCAGAACAGGCAGACTGACTGAAACACACTGCTGAGGGTAGCAGCGGGCGAGACAGGAGAGGTCTGCTGTGCCATGTGGGCCAGCCCCTGGCCTGCTGGGATCGAACTTGTGCTGCAGAGGCTGTGGACAGCTTCATAGTTTGCCATCAGGGAGGCCCATTAGCTCATGATTTATGAGTTCTAGGAACACCGCTGACTTTCTCTTATAGCAGATGATGTTTGAGCTCTTTTGCTCACCTTCTACTGCCTCCTCACCCACATACTAGTCACTTCTTCCCTCCACCTTCCCAACTGAGGTTCATACCAGCACATTATCATTTAGTAATTTCTAGTATTATCATTATATGCAAGTACATACTAAGGTTAATAGGATTGCATTTCTATTCTTGTAAAATTCCACTTCTGCTGGAAGTGCTGAATGCTAAACATTTACTTAGTTTTCTCTGTTCTTA